CCCCAAAACCCCAAAACCCCAAAACCCCAAAACCCCTAAAATTGTGAATTTATTGAACTTTGAATTAAGCTCTCTTCTTGTCAAAGAAATGGCCATAAGTACTGGAAGAAGTAATCTTGGAGTAAGCACCATTCCCTGAAGTGCTTGCTCCGAAAGGAGTAGTTCTCAATAATTCTTGGTGCTTGTATACATTCATATTTGGATTCTGGGCTAATAGTTTAGACCCTGCAAGACTTAAAGTGGATTCCCTCTTTTCCAATACAGAAGGATCTTTGGCAATATTTTTGAATTTATTATCATAGACAGTAGCGTATCCGAACCTTTTGTTATACCCACTCGAATTAGGGGCTGGTTTAATGACATCTTTTTCTGTGGAATAAATCTTTTTATCCTCCTTCATAAATTTGTCAGATCTGTTGAAGCTCTGACTAGTTTTAGACAACTTATCACTTTGAAGTTGTATCTGTGCGATTCGATCTTGTCACTTTTTTAGTTCATTCTCAGTATCTTGGATCCTCCTCTCTGTCTTTTTAATATCGTACTCAACAGGAATCTTTTCTTTGGTAGTCTCTCCAGTGCCGGTAAGAGGTCCTTCTGAGTCAGGATGAGCAAATACATCCTGTACTGTCTCTTTAGTCTCGAAATTAGAGGTTGTCCTATTGAATTTCCTTTCATATTGGTTATTTTTCAATTTCAGGGTCCATATAGCTCCTACCTGCTGGAGCTTGGTATCCATCATAGTTGTTATAAGCATAGTGCTCAGCCAATGGTCCATCTCTTGGGGCAGAATTATCAGGATTTGCTTGGTAGAAATCAGAGTCTTCCTTGTTGTTAGCTTCATAATATTGAGGAGCATCAGCAAAACTGACTTTCTTGCTATCTCTTGACTCTTCTCTTGGCATTGCCTCATAGCTCTGCTTTGGAGGAGCAGGCTTCTTGTAATAATTTTCCTTCTCGTCTTCAAATCCGGTGCCTGTAGGATATAGCGGAGCATTTATAGGGTCGAATTCTTCCTCACGAGATTCTTGTCTCATCTTTAAAACATCTTTGTATGAGGGGAATTGCTCTGCTTTAGGCTGTGACATTCCTTGAGCGGCAAAACCTACAGGAGCTGGTGCATAGCTCTGAGAGTTTACTTTAGAGGCCATCTCTTTTGGATGAGTAGCAGCAGATCTTGGCTTAATTGGATCCTTTATATACGTCTTATAAGTTTTATCATTAGCAAAGTAATTACTAAAAACCACAAAATTATTTGGCTGAGGGACATAATTAATAAGCCCATAGTGCTTTTTCAGAAACTTGAGGAACATATTAGATGGTCTGTCGTAAGCAATTTTATGAGGCTCTACTTTCTCTTCATCAAGCATATATTGAAACAGATACTTTCCATATCCTTCCCTCTGATGACTTTCGTGAACATAAAAGTCAAGGATGCAGAGAGGTTGTATTTCCTTCATATTGCCTATTTCATCCCTCACAAAAAGTTTCTTATATCCAATTTTGAGCATACCAATGGCTTTGAATTGATCAACGATCAAGTATAGTTTATCCTCACTTCCGAAAAACTTTATCGCATTTGTAACTGGTGATGGTAACTTTTGTGCTGTTGAGCTGCTTTCTCCCACAATATCTATTACTTCATTCAACAATTTCTGGTGTGGGTCCACTTTGACTCCTGCTGAATAATGCTGGGCTCCCTTTCTCATGCTGTTTACTCCATCAAGGATGACTATTCCTTGAGAGTTAGCGTTCAGTACGTCTGACAAGTTAAAATCAAAATCCATCTTAGATTTAAATATTTCAAAATATAATATTCCAAAAGGGGTTTTGGGGTTTTGGGGTTTTGGGGTTTTGGGG